GCTGGGGGTGGGGTCCCGACCCCCCCAGCAGCAGAGCGCTGCTGCTGGGGGGGGGGGGGTCGGCCATGACTTTAGATGTGCAGGGGGGGTACCGAGCAGTGTGCGGCCGCTCCAGGACCCAGCTCCCAGGTCGCAGGTGGCTACGTCAGAGTACAGTAGAATACTGGCCAATGTGCGGGGTTTCCAGGTATCTAGATAGGAATGCACAGGCAGGAATGAGGAAACGCCGAAAAGTCGGAGTCTGATGGATGGATTTTGGTATTGCGCTCTCTCAGAAGTAAACTACACGCGGCGCGCGACCGCGAGCGAGCTGGCCCCTCCATCATCGATCAACTTTCGCTCCCCTCTCCCCGCGCGTTCGCCGCGCCCACAGCGTCGCCCCGCGGCATCGGCCTCTGCCGAACGGCGCTCGGCGCATCATCGGACGCAAACACCCAGAGCGCGGCCTCGCTGGTCGACGCGAGGAAACGGGCGAGCTCGTGCACCGACGAGAAGCGGTACAGCAGCGCCCTGTGGCGGCACCGCGCGCGCGTCGTCGTAGCGGGTGCGCACGTCGGCGCCTGCTCGCGCCCGAGGAAGAAGAGGTGGCGGTAGAGGGCGAGCGTGCGGCAGACCGCCGCCACATACTGCGCGCGCTCCGACGTCGGCCCGCCCCGCGGGCTGAAGAGGCCGGGGTGCGCCTCCACCAGCAGCGGCGGCCGCGGTGCCGGCCGGTGGGCGAGCGAGCCAAAGGCAGAGCGGAGCGCCGCCCTCTCGCCCCCGTCGAGGTCCATCACTACAAGGGCGTCGGTCCTGCCCTCCGCACGGCCCTCCTCGAGGGCGGCGTCGAGGTACGCGTCGAACGCGACACCCGCCACCTCCCACGACCTCCCCGCCTCCACCCCCAGCCCCTCCCCTGCGGGTCGCGCGCTCTCATTCTCCGAAGCGGCGGAGCCACGCCCGCCGCCCGCCTCGCCCGCCGGCGTGGACAGGCGCACCGCGCCGGGCCGGTCGCCCACCGCGACGAAGGAGGGTGTGATGCGCCGCCGCA